AAGGATTGCGGCAAGCGACACTAGGTTAAAAAAAAAGGAGAAAGAAATTATACATTCTCCTGACCGTTCTATTATCGAATCAACCATTAGAATGTTATCTTAGTAAAGACATCAAAATTGCCTGTAAATTCTTAACATTCCCATACGATAAAAAAAACGAGAATGGACGTGTTGCGTTTTAAACAAGAAAAGAATTATATATATATATATATATATATATATATATATATACATATAAATATTTTAATATATTAAATACCGAATTATATTCAACTGATTTTCCATTCGGGCGCACTGATGGCCAATGTGGTATTCGACGTGTTAAACATTGCAACAATGAAAGACGTATTTTTGAACTTGAAAGACAGCTAACAGATAAATTCTATTTCTCGATGGTAGACGTCAATTTCTAGTAGTCAAGTCAATGCTTGGATCAGACAGACGGACGGGCTTTCACGGAGGTCGCTCTTTACCGTATAACGGGAGGTCTAATGGAAACTTCGCATTTCGCATTCTATAGCTGCCCCTCGGTACAATCGGGTATAAATAAGATACATTCCTGCGATGCCTTGAAAGAGTAAAAATGTAAATATTGCCTGGGCTCGCGTGTATTGAAAAGAAGAGAAAGCGTTGCGCTTGGTTCCGCAAGCAAGCATATTCCTTCGCTTATTGCTCGTATGTAGTATAAAAATGTTAAGTTTTTATTCCGGAAAAATTGCGAAGGAAATTAATTATTCGACGAAAAAATTGGTCACGAGAATGTGCTGCTCGCGACTATTATTACAAATACCATAATTAACTAACACGGTTTGTCTTCCATTAAGGTAAGCCCCTGATGGGTGAATAATAGCTCCGTCCCATTACACGCTGTATTGTTAATAGCCGCATCAAATGGCTTAATTAAAGTTACGAATGCGAATATTATTTTGGGTAAACAAATCGTTCTCTCTTTCTCCCTCCCCCCTCTCTCTTTCTTTCTGGTAATTTCGCTCATAGTAATGGTAAAAAGTATCGAAGTATATAATTGTGAGGAGAATAATTTACAATTTAACTTTACAATTTGTAATTAATTATATAGAACGTTACATCTGCGTTTCATCGAATTCGAAGATCCTTCGATAAAGTTGAATAAAACGAGGCAATTAAATTATCAATAACGTAAACTGCAAAATCGAACAAAGATCGGTAAGAGTTAAAAGAAAAAAAGAAGCTTCGTATCTATGTGCAATAGAAGCGTGTAAAAGCATGAAGAAGACGTAGAGAACGAAAGAGAGAGAAAAAGAGGGAGAAAAAAGGGGGAAAAAAGAAACAGAAGAAAAAAGAAATAAAAAAGGAAAAGAAAATCGTGCACGGTAATTCTCAATAACACATATTCTTTCGAGATTGTTCTATCGATGATTATTATCTTTAATGAATCGATGGCAATGGTAGCGTATGGCGCACACGAAGGATAGAATGATGATAACCGATGGAATGTCACACAAACGCACTACACACTATGCACTTGCGTGCAGAAGCACAAAAGAAGGCGGGAGAGAGCACGTATGTATGTATGTATGTATGTATGTATGTATTGTATATATGTATGTATGTATTGTATATATGTATGTATGTTATGTATACATGTATATAATATCGGCTCGTGATAGAGGTGGAAACACAATCGGTATGCCGCAGCGCAATTCATACAGGGTGGTACGTAATTGCTTCGCATGGCATATCGATTGTCCTCACGAGGTCACCGTATACTTTCAAAGCGCACCAGTGGATATCCTACGATGATGAGAGGGCGGCATGGTTCGATTAAAAAACAAAAGTAATTTCTTCCTCTTCTTCTCCTTCTCCTTCTCTTTTTCCTTCTCCTTTTTCTTTTTCTTCTTCTTGTTCACGTAGATCACAATGAGGGAGAAGAAAAGAATAAATAAATAAAAAGAAAAAGAAAAAAAAGCAAGTTTGAAAAAAGAAGAATATCTTTCGTTGACACTTAATCGTACGTTTCTCGATGTGCAGTTATCTCGAATATTTTGCGATCCGAAGAAGTTCTATTTCGTTGACCTTGAAACACGTCGATAAATCGAAAACGATATGCACTGACGATGTACTTCGTATCTTTCGTAGAAATTTCTTTGGTATGAGATACACGCGGTTAAGTAGCGCTCTTTCTCTCTTTCCTTCTCTTTCTTTCGTATCTTTCTATTTCTCTCTCTTTCTATATCTCCCTCTCCCTTTCTTTCTCTCTCGATGTTCACCGCGAAACGTTCACTAACAGACTGAAAGCCGACGATTCTCGCACACCCCAAAGGTGTTTGACGAAGAGTCGGTCGAGCAGAGCCGAACCTCGCCGAATATCCTCGATCTTCGCTCGTTGCACCGCGTGCTCCAATTTTTCCCCCATCTTATATATCACTCGTTATATGTTCTGTATTTTCTCCTCTATCTCTCTATCTCTCTCTCTCACTTTCTTTATATATACTGATTGGTGTGTCCGTCGTTAAACGAATGCTCCTGTTAATTTGATAGTTTATACAGTGTGACGTTTATACGGCTACGACACACGTCCGTCCATTCTCAAAATCCTGGCAATTCTATTTCCTTCGTATATCGTTTTGCTTGATTTACGCTTTTAATATATACATATACCCGGCGTTAATTTGCTTCATTGTAAATCCGTAAATTAAAATTTTCACTGTGTTTCCTTTCTTCATTTTTCATTATATACTTCAGCGTTGATCATTCACTTTTTTCTCATAGTTAAAATATGCTACCTGCACAATCGTACAATAAACATGTTCCACGTAGTATTTTGCAATATTTATCCGATTATATATATATATATATATATATATATATATATATATATGTGTGTGTATTATATGCATCCTGTAACTCTATATACTCGTATATCTATATACTAACAATAAAAAAGATATATATATACATAGACGTATGTATATAGATATCTCGACTTTATTACGGTTCTCTGATGGGTTGAGAAGAATTCGTCCCGTCGTTCCTAGATGCGTGCGACGAGATGAAATTCTCCAGATAGATAGAAGAAAAACCTTCGTGTTAAGGTAAATATGGCGTAGAGAAGAAAAACGAAAACGTGGCGATAGAAAATATCTCTTCAGTGTCCTATAAAAACACATTGTCTTAGGGGAAAAAACAGGGACAACTTATTTATTGCTTAGAAAAAGAAATCTTTCTTTATTTCTATTTTATTTTTTTCTTCTTCGATGTTAATTAAAAAAAAAAGAGGGAAATAAAAACAGAATTTCAAAACTTTTTCTTTAAATTTAAAAAAAGAAATGATAATAATAATAATAATAATAATAATAATAATAATAATAATAATAATAAAATAAATAAAAGATAATAAATGATTCATTATGATCAGATAACTAAAAATATTCTAATAAAACAGATCGAAATGAAATTATGTACATATTTTATGCAACACATTTTAAATTTCGTTAATACATGTACTTACTTAAGAATAAAACGTAGGATGAGAAAGAAAAAGGAGGGTAAGAAATCGTAAATATTAAAAATGAGGGAGTATAAACAAAGCAAAAACGAAATCATTTAAGTAGGCTAATTTGTACTCTCGTGAATTTACGCTTTAACGGAGCAGAAAAAAACGTCGCGTGTTTACAAATTCTCTGTTCTTCTTCCTCTCCCTACGTTCACTCTCTCCCTCTCCCTCCCTACCCCTCTCTCTTTATTCTTTTTTATTTGATCGAGGAGAGTAAGGTCGATTCAAAGTTATTCCGAATGAAAAAGAAAGGGAAGGGGGAGGAGAGAGAGAGAGAGAGAGAGAGAGAGAGAGAGAGAGAAGAAATTCCTTTCTCTCTCCGTCTCTTATTAATATCCACCATTAAATACGACTTCTCCCACGCAAATGGAGCATGTAAACATGAATGTGTACTCATGCATATACGTACGTACATACATACGTACGTATGTTTGTATGTATGTATGTATGTATGTATATGTGTACAACACAAAACAGCTTTTACGCTCATGTAAATTAGAAGATCTACAATACTTTTCATCCTATCGAGTATAATCGAGCTTTCTCGTATATTGATTTCAAGAGAGAGAGAGAGAGAGAGAGAGAGAGAGAAATTCTCTCTTTTTTCCTTCATATACGGATACAATATCTTTCTAAAAAAAAGAGAGAGAGAGAGAAAGAATCTAACGTATTGATGCACACCGAAAGTGATTTCGTCGTGCCTCTTTTTGTTTTCTTCTTCCTCGTTTATTCCGTCGAATGCATAAATCAAATACACCGTGGATAATGGATAGGATACTCGGTGATGGTGGGAAAAGTCCGCTTATAAGAGACGAGACAGCGATGAAATAGTTTTAACGAAGCGAAAGAACGAACATGAGGATGAATTTTTTTTATTTTCCCTTTCTCACTCTTCCTCTTAGTTTCGCGTAAAATTAAAAATTAAAAATTAAAAAAAGAAGAAAGAGAAAAAAGAAAGAGAAAATAGCATAGAATGGCATTAGTATGCAACAGAGAAAAAATCGCGTATATAATACATACATATATTTAGAAGCTTAATCGATGGTCCGCGGCAATACACGGAGCGTGAAACTAACACGCGAGAAGCAGCGCAGCAGAAGTAGCAGCAGCGTCGGCAACGAGAAACGCTACGGTAGTGCTGCACTTGCATTTATTTGTCTTTCATTATATTTTATGTCGAAAGGAGTTTCCACTTGTGGATGCGATAAAACGAACGAATAGAGAGAGAAAGAGAGAAAGAGAGAAATAGAGAAAGACGATAACGATCGTCCTTCGATAAGAAAATCGACCAAGCCAGCAGAATAATATTTCTTCTTGTAACTGTACCGTCTTGCAAAAAAGTATGTAAGGTATCTATTCTCGTTAAGTTTCTTTTATTTTATTTTATTTTATTTTCTCTTCTCTTCTCTTCTCTTCATTTCTGTTCTTTTCTTTTTTTCTTTCTTTCTCTTTGATTTTATTTTACCTTATTTGCGAGGTCCAACATATTTCCAGATCCACCAGCGGCAGCCTCAACGAGCTTTTGAAGCGTGTGAGGCTCTGGCGAGAGATCACGAGCACCGCTATCGAATTCCCAACTCTCATGTCTCCCCGAAACTGTTCCTGAAAATCGATCGTAAATCGTTCGATAAAATTTACAAACAAATGCAACGAACGACAACAAATGCATAGATATTCCGATCAGGAAGAAACTATAAATCTAAGAGTTGGTCATATTGAGAAAGGGCTTGGGTTCAGATAGAAGGAACGTATTTTATAATTTTTTTTTTCTCTCTTTTGCGACGTTTTCCTCGCTTATACGGATTCGTGTCACGCTTCGAACGAATGTGTGTGTGTGTGTCTGTGTGCGTGGGTATACGCGTGTGTATATGCGTGCGTGCGTGTGCATGTGCATACACGGATGCATATATATATATATAAGTTAACTACGAAAAGACGATTAGTAACACGACGTGTGATTTTCTCGAACGATCAAAAAGCTCTCACGAAAAAACCCACCCAGTTCCATACGTGGCCAAAGTGGTCAATTTCCTGCTCTTTGTAAATGGATGATCTAATATTAACTCAAGCGAACTCTGCAGAAAAGAAAGAAGAAAAAAGAAAAAGAAAAGAAGATGAAGGAAAAAGGACAAGGACAGGTTCCTCTTAATATAACCTCTACGAAAAGAATTTTTTCGCTAGGCAAAGGTCGCATTAATTTTTCTTTTTCTCGCGATTCATTTTGGACCAACCTCTATAAGGTAACACTATGTTCCTCTCATTTAGTAGTGCCTTCACTAATATTGATCCAAAAACAATCGATAAGAACTTATATTATAAGATCTTAGAGTTAAGAGCTAAACGGTAAAAGCTATGCGTCTACGTGGCGACGAAGATCATCCAGCTTTTGACATTGATTACAAATTCAATAAAGCCAACGAACCGCTCGCGTCTCGACTCCTCATGAATATAAAATGCATGCCTCTTCCATTGGCCAAGTCATATCGAAGTCGACATTATCATTTTCTCAAGTTCATTCTCTTTCTTCGTATAATACAATTATAATACATCAATTATGCTCTATCTTTCTTTTTTTTCTTTTTTTTGAATCGACAAAGATATTAAGATCTTACCAAGACTATTGTCACTGCTAGTTGGAAGATATTCCGGAGTATGCGTATGATGAGGACTCGTTCTGTGTTTACCAGACCTAAGGGCCTCGATCTCTGGTCGTAGAGCCAAACGACGTCTGAGGAACTCTTGATAGGAAATGCGACCGTGCTCGTCCGCACCTAATTCCCTCATCAATTCTTCCACGGAATTCTCCAGATTCAGTTCTCTGCATACCGTCAGCAAATCCTGACTGAAATTCATTTATTCCAATGGCAATCGTTTGCGTTTAAAAATTCATGACGACTTTACAAACATTATATTATAATAATTATTTATAAATATATAAATATGCATGTACATTGATTAAATTCTAAGACTTTATAACGTAAAGAATAAATTAAACAAAAAAAAAGAAAAAAAAAAAAAAAAAAAAGAAGAAATCAAAAAGGAAATCAAAAAGGAAAAAAAAAAACAAAAAGAAATTGGAACTTGAACAAAAGATGACAGAGAAACCAACTATTGATTATTACAAAATTCGTATCACGATTCGATGACACAGGATCATTACCGTAGGGGAAAGGACGAAATTTTGATACAACCCCGTCGTCCCATGGGAACCGTGTTGTATCAGAGTTATTCGATGACGTTGCTACCTGACATTTCGAAAAACAGAGAGAGAGGGGGGGGAGGGGGAGAGAGAAGAGAGAGGGCGGGAGAGAGAGAGAGAGAGAGAGAGAGAGAGAGAGAGAGAGAGAGAGCAATACCCATTTTATCGAAAAGCTCTTCTTTCCGCACGAAGGTAACCGCATGCGGATTGTTCGCAAAACAACCGCACAATAGATCCGACGAGTT